TGGAGTTAGATTTGTTATACATGCTGAAAGGCTCCGTAAAAATAGACTCAACCAAAAAAAAAAGTTTCAACCCAAAAAAAAAAATAAAAAAAATAAACTCATCTTAATTTTTTTTGTTGTTTTTAAGATTTTTTTTTTTTTTTTTTTTTTTCTTCAGTGGGTCCAATCCTCTTCCATACAATGGAATGTTGGAGAAAAGTTCCCAACTTTTCTCTCCTCTGCGGTCAACTAGTGAAGCAAAGACGCAACAGACTGAAGCAAAGAGATGGGAGGAGGAGGGATCTCTGAGAGCTGTAAACTGGGTTAAATCTGCAGACAAAAGTGAAGAGAGAAAAGCGATATTCTGAGGCAAAGGTCTGCAGCTTCCCCTGAACTAGATTATCTGTATTGCATTCGTACTTTTGTCAGATTGTGACAGAACTAAACAGACTGCTGCTTTAATTAAGGAGTCATGTTTTATATCACCCACAGTGCTGTATGTGAGATTGCATTGTCGGTATGAGTCCGGTATGTGTTTGTGTCCAGTCCCATTTACTCTGTTCCCGATAAATAAAATTCACTTGAAAAGTCACTTTATTAGCAAAGAGAGTCCGTCGGTGTTTGAGCTCAGCATAAACCTGTCTGTCTGTAAGTTTGCTGGAGAATATGGACCAGCAGCCTCCTGAAGATGAAGGATCACAGCAGACAGGCCAGGGAGCAGAACTGGGTTATTAAACAATATCCCAACATTTCATTTGATCCCAATTGATCTATTTTATCAATTATCCCTACCAAGGCTCTCCGTGGCTCAACAAAGGCAAGGAGAGCCTTTCTTAGAGTCAGGACTGTGGTACGCCTGGAGGAGGTGCAGTAGTCCACACCTGTGTTAGTACGTCCGCTGACAGAAGAATGCACACTCTTTGCTTTGTGATGACCCAGATGAAGGTCACCAGCTGGTTAATAATAACGTTGGTTTGTCAGACGTGTTGCTGGAGTCTCCTCCTAACTAAATCAGGAAAACAATTTTAATCTGTGGCATAAATCCTTAAGAAGTGTAACTCGCCGTTTGCCATGTGGTGAACACAGCCAACGCGTGGAAGGAGATGTTTTACTCAGATGAAAGCAGAACAGAACTTTCTGGATTTCAGGAAAGACTCGATATGCGTAACGAAACTAGCACGGTTCACACACCC